AAATGCACCATTTCCTGGAGTAAACCCATCTATATACGCATTTAATTGCAATGGTCTTTCACTGGTACTGTTCAAGCGAGTTGGGATGGCTGTTGTGCTGTGTAGACAGCGTTTCATTCTTCACGTTCGCCATCTCTCAGTCATTTCTGTGGTCTTCCCAACTCTTCCCAAACTTTGGTATTATAGAACTTTTCTAAAGTTCTACAAACTCCGCCATTTTAATTCGGTACATCACTCGCTCTCCCTCGCCAGATACAATTTCTTATACAGCTTTTCCACTATGACTGTTCTGCCTTCTCGACGGACTTCTTTGCAACTGTTTCACTACTAGATGGTTCTATAGTCAAATTTCGTCTCAAATTTTGTCGTTGTTTGTATGCATATCTCTTTCTCTTCATTACAGCTTGACCTTCATCACTCCACTGCTTTTTCTCGATTCGTCTTCTTTCTGGCTTCATGCTCCAGTAATTTCTATTCGACTTGATTCACTTTACGCTTCAAGGTTGGTCACGATCGGTGTGGTCTTCCTTGTAAGAGTGATAGATAGTTCTCAGTTCTTAGTACTGCACTTAGAGTGCTTATTACCTCCTTGGCTTAGGAGCTTTATTTCAATTTCACACTTTGGTTCTTATATCGACACTCAATGGTTCTTCTGCTTGTCCAAGTGAATTTAAAGTGTAAAAATGGTGGCTCATGCTGAGCTATGTAGCTTCAACTGGTGATAGCTTTGCACTTCTTTACTTGGGATCATTATAATGCACTACCCAACGGTCAATTTTTGTCCGACGGCCCCCATGTGTGTACGTAATTAGGTTTTCGCGAATGCTAAGTCGTAAACTGTTAAAAATTTGAATGCGAAAAAGCAATCAAGAATTTGGCTCACCTGATAGTGACGACCGACTCTCTGACTAGGTCATTCGCCACATTCAAGTAAATGATTTGCTTTGGTAAGCGAAATCAATCCAAACGTTTAGGTCCGCCCACCCCCTTGGTCGCCCCGCCCACTCAGTGATCTCTCCTCACCACCGCCCGTGTTTGGCTTCTTAAAAGCAGTGCTCTAGCGAAGAAGGCATGCGATTGTCTCAAGAACAAAATAGAGAATTTGAAATTGTCTCAACATATCCCCTTCAGTCCAAAAAGGTTTCGGAATTTCTCTTTTTGACAGTTTCATATTAATTGAAGTTGCTATTCGTGTTCAGCGCATCGAAATGGTTCAGAAAAGTTGGAAAGCCCATAGTAAAATCTGCCCGGACATAGTCTCTAAGGTGCCTTCCATGCACAAATGTCGTATTCTATGATATGGATCTGACATGAGCGTCAAGCTCCCACTAGGACGTATCCTCTTCTTCCTTGGGATTTCATAGGCACTGATAATTCGAAGAATTTCTCCTTTGGTGTCAATTTTTATTCGCCGTTCTAGCAAACCTTACTAATTGTATTCTGCTTCTGCCATTGCAAAAGAGCTTAAATCCACTCTGGTGTTCTGTTCCTTTCGCTACGTGCAAGCTATATCCTCTCATCGTCTTCTCAGGAGATCGGCCAACTCTCGATGTTGTCCACTGAGTACTACATTGGTGGAGGCTAAGTGAAGCATTTCTGAGTTCTTAGATGACTGCCCTTAATGGGCTAGTTTCTTCTTACTTTTCTTTACCTGCCGGGGTTGTGTGGGCATCTCGTTCAAATATGAAGGTTTTCTCAGCCGCGCCTTGTAACACGCCCTTGGGGGCAGCCTGACGCATCGCGAAGCAAGAATCATGTTCCAGCCAGAATCGGTCCGTGGCCTCATCGAAATGATGTCTTGGGAAATACATCATTAACCTCTTTGCTACTTTTGCACCTTTCATAAGGTGAAAGCGTAACTGCCTCTGCAAGCTGGTCTCAAAGAAAGTCAGAAATCACTAATAGTTGGTATATTGCGTAGCATATTTTCCTTGAACTTAATAGCTCTGTGTAAAGCGGATTTTCATCAAAATATTCTTTATATCATGCAATATAGAAAAGGAGCATTCAAAGAGATGTTCAATGCAAAAGCTTGCATTGAATTTATTATAGTTGCATCAAAAAAGAAGAAAGCATAAGGAGGGAGGCAACTTCAAAAGCTGGACTGCGGAAAAATATGAAGTTACTTCACGTATCATCCTAGCGATCATTAGTGATTCACGCAGGTTCTAAGCTAATATAAATCTATCTCCTAATTCAGTATTCTAAAAAAATATTTCAGAGGGAAACATGATCGTGAGGAAAGTCACGAGTTTACAAAAATACCTAGC